GAACAGGCTATAACTGCTCATGTGCAAATTCAGGCTGAAGCTGAAGGAAATTAAAACATGTCCACAAAAGTCAAAATGTGACCATGATTTAGAGACAATCTTAAGAATAGATTTGATGCATTAAACACGAGTGACTGAAGACCAGCAGAGTTGTGGGATGACATCAAAAACATCATCCATGAAGAAAGAAGGTCATTAAAAACAGGAAAGAAAGAAAAGACCAAAGTGGGTGTCAGCAGAGACTCTGAAGCTTGCTCTTGAACGTCGAGTAGATAAAACTGATGTAAGAAATGATGAAATAAAAGACTGAATGGAAAATTTCAAAGGGCAGCTCAAGAAGACAAAGTCAAGTATAAGAAAAGACCTAGTTAGAAAATCAAAAGGGAAGAACATACGCAGCATTTCTCAAACTGAAAGAACTGGAGAAAAAGAAAAAAAAAAAAAAAGCCTTCGGTTGCAATATTGACGGATTCCTGGGTTCAAACATAACAATTGTGAGGATGATGCAGGACTGGATAGTATTTTGTTCTGTTGTGTATAGTGTCATTATGAGTCAAAACTGGCTTAATGATAACTAGCAACAGCAATAGGAAAAATATTGATTGATGCAAGACGCACCAACAGAAGATAGTAGAATATACAGAGTCACTGTACCAAAAAGAAATGGTTACTGGTCAGTCATTTCAAGAAGTAGCATATGATCGAAAACCTTTGGTACTGAAGGAAGAAGTCCAATCCACATTGAAGGCCTAGGTGAAAAACAAATCTCCAAGGATGGACAGAATACCAATTGAATACCAACTGTTTCAACAAACTAATGCAACACTGGAAGCACTCACTAGTCTAGGGTCACTAGTCTATGCCACGAAATTTGGAAGACAACTGCCTAGAAGAGACCTATATTTGTACTCATTCCAAAAGAAAGGTGTGGAAATTATTGAAGATTATCATAAATATCACATACAAGTAAAATTTTACTGAAAATAATTTAAAAACAATTGTAACAGTACACTGACAGGGAGTTGTCAGAAATCCAAACAGGTTTCAGAAGAGGCCGTGGAATGAGGGTTATCACTGTTGATGTCAGATGGATCTTGGCTGAAAGCAAAGAATACCAGAAAGATGTTTATTTGTGCTTTATTGACTACGCAAAGGCAATTCGACTGTGTGGATTATGACAAGCTGTGGTCAACATTGCAAAGAATGGGAATTCCAGAATTGTGTCAAGTGGAACCTATATGTAGACCAAGAGGCAATTGTTCAGAGCAAAGGAATATTATGCTGTTTAAAATTAGGATAGGTGCGTGTCAGGCTTGGATCCTTTCGCCATACTTACTCAACCTATATGCTGAGCAAATAAGGTGAGAAGCTGGGTTATATGAAGAAAAATGTGGCATCAGGATTGGAGGAAGACTCGTTAACAGCCTGTGATATGTAGATGATACAGACTTGCTTGCTGAAAGTGAAGAAGACTTGTGACACTTGATGAAGATCAAAACCTTCTGTATGGACTGGATTTCAATGCCAAGAAAACAAAAATCCTCACAACTGGACCAATAAACAACACCATGATAAACAGAGAAAAGATTGATGTTGTCAAGGATTTTATTTTACTTGGATCCATAATCAATTCTCATGGGAGCAGCAGTCATGAAATCAAACAACTTATTGCCTTGGGAAAATCTGCTATAAAAGACCTCTTTATAGTGTTAAAGAACAAAGATGTCACTTTAAGGACCAAGGTCACCCTAACTTGAGCCATGGTATTTTCAATAGCTTCATATGCATGTGAAAGCTGGACAACGAGTAAGGAAGACACAAGAGGAACTGGTACATTTCAGTTATGATGTTGGCAAAGGATATTGACAATACCATGGACTTCCAGAAGAACAAACAAATCAGTGTTGGAACAAGTACCGCCAGAATGCTCCTTGGAAGTGAGGATGGTGAGATTTTTGTGTCACGTACTTTGGACATGAGAAGGAACCAGTTCCTGGAAAAGGACATAATGCTTGGTAAAGTAGAGGGTCAATAAAAAAGAGGAAGACTTCCAACGAGATAGATAAACACAACGGCGGCAACATAACAATGATTGTGAGGATGTTGAAGAACCAGGCAGTGTGTTTTGTTCTGTTGTACCTGAGGTCACTATGAGTTGGAGCCAACTTGACGGCACCTAACAACATTTTTCAAGGAGCTCTGGTAGTGTAGTGGTTACAAACTGGGCTGCAAACCGCAAGGTCAGCAGTTTGAAACTCCCAGCTGTTCCATGGGAGAAAGATGAGGCTTTCTGCTCCCATAAAGATTTATAGCCTTGGAAACCCTGTACAGGGTCACTATGAGTCAGAACCGACTCCATGGCATTTTTCCAACATAATTTTTCTACTTAGCACCAACTTGTTTAATTCAGTATGTAAATAAAGTATACAAAGTTTCTTGCCACCTATACACATTGACATTGATAAAGATATCACAATTAACATCTTAAACATTTAATGATGCAGTTAGTTATATATGATGGAAAGATGTTCTAATAAAAGTAAAAATAATAAAGGAGATGATTATTTTTAGAAACCAAGAGTCCTTTGAAAGGCAAAGTGTGTTGTCAATGAGGCATCTTAATTCCATGCCAAGCTCAGTATCTGCCAAGAGTTTATGTCTCTTCCCTGTGGTGGCTCTTTATTTCTTTTTGGCTTAAATTCACAGATGGCCCATCTGCTTTCTTGAACTTTGTCATTAACTTATTTAACTTATGAATGTTAATTATATGTTTCTGAATGCATCATATCTATCAGCATTTACAATGGTCTCTCTGGTAAAGCATATGATAGAGAAACTGCTGTACACCTTTAAGCAATCACTTACGAACAAGGAACATTGGATAATAGAAATAAAAGTTTTACTTGGTCCATGCTGTAATCTGCTATAATTCTGCATAAGTGCCAATGTGGTGAATTCTTTTATTTAAAAAAAATCATGTAGCGTATGTTTGTATGTTTCTAGAAGCCCCAACTTTGTGAAGCAGAGTCTGTAGTGATTTCTACACATCAAACTTGGCAAACAGTAACTAGCCATAAACTTAACAGTCATATTCACACTTCAGTGGCAAATATAGAATGAAGATTGCATCAATCAATCTGTCATAATCATGCCTTCCAGTAGCAACACTGACAGTGACATCACTACCAATATGAAGGACAGCCTATAATTACAATTAGCTACAAAGTTCACCTTCCTTAAGGTGGTTAGAATGTAAGTCCCACCCGCGATTGCACTGGAAAAAGAGGATGACCAGGAAGAAATGCTGAAGGCTGCTCCTTCCAACTCTAAATCTACATAACCTGAATCTTAGCTCAGCCTCTTGGTCTAGGCTTCGGTTGTCCCCAGTTTTTTCTCAAAGCTTCCAGGTTAACCCATGGTATGCCAGTAAGCTCCTGAGTGTTCTACTGAGGATAGATGAGTTTGTGGGAAAGTTTCGCTGCTTCTGGCACTTTGAAGGCAACTTCAACCGTAGACCTCTAGTTTTGCTGCGTTGTCCGCATTTCCCCTCTCCTCATACCATTAGGGTCTGGGTTTGTGACAGATATTGAGAGGAGAGTAAAGCGCCTCACTCCTACCTCAATAGTCTTACTCATGATTTACAGTTTCTCTAAGAGAGAAAAAGCGTGAGTATGTATGCGTGTGTGCAAGGCAGAGAGATCCAGAGATTGAGGTGGAAAGCTTGCGGCGCAGGCGGTCCCCTCGTGGAAACCTTCTCACCTGCTGCTGGGGGGAACTACCTGGGAGGGGCCATGGCCGCGTGCCTACCCACCCGCTCTGCCCCCGCTCCTCGCAGCGACGGGGGAGTTCCCGCAAGTGGCCCGCGCCCGGACGCGTGGGGGTTGTTCGGTTGGAGGCGGGGGAGCAGCCGGGGCACCAAAATAGGAGCCGCTTGTGGGCTGGAGCTGCACTAGCAGGCAGCCTCCGCCGCGCCTCTTCCAAAGATGGTCAGAGGGTCCGGAGGCGCTCCCGCCCCCGCCCGCCGCTAGCCCGCTGCTAGTCTGCCGGCGTGCACCGCGTTCCGGAGCTGCCGCCGGAGGTAGGTGCGGCGCGGTCCCGTCGCCCGAGGTCAGTTGGCCGGGAGCAACCGGGGCCGGGCGCGGTGAACAGAGGCCGCGCCGCCTCCCGAGCCCGCCCGCCTGCCGGCCCGCGGTGCAAAAGCGCAGACAATGGCCGCGTGGACGCCCGGCCGAGCGGTGCGCGGG